TTGTCATAAGCGAAGATGTCAATGATGACGTATTGTTGACACTTGATGTAGATTCTTCTTTTTATTGTCTCCCATCTTTGACACAAATATTATTTAATAGTTGACGGCAAAAATCAAGATTATTTTCTTTCTGGTGTGGAAGATCAGACTAAACTGCAACCACAGAGCATACTCAGATAGAACCTTGACTCAGTTACCAAGATAAATCTTTTCTGATGTGGAAGATCAGACTATGCTGCAACCATAGAGCATACTTAGACAGTACCTTGGCTCTGATACCAATTGTTGCGGAAGCCAAATGTATATAGTGTGAATAAGTCACAACTAATATACCAAAAATTATGACAGTCACCAAATAATAAATAAGACAATAAAACAATAATAAAAGAAACACCAAAATTTACGAGGTTCAGCCAATTTTGCCTACTTCTCGGACACAACCAATATTTTATTCCACTCCAAAAATACAAGTGAAATAATACTAAAGAGAGAAGATACAAATACCTTAAGAAAAAAAAAAGACAAATGAGAGGTGTGTTTAAATCCTAAATATTAGGCCTCCTTTTATGGGGTGGTACTTCGCTGATGTGAGATTTATGACATTCAACACATTCCTCTTAGGCCATAGCTCTTGCACAAGCTTGCTCCAAAGAGTGACAGATAAGTACAATAGAAAATCAAGAATCTTTCTTGAGTTAAGTTATTCCAGTTCAGTGCTTAACAGATTGAACAGTTATATGCAATATAGAAATTAATAATTACGTCAAGATTTATGGCCTAGAAAAATGAACTCTCACATGGTTGTACAAGACTTCTTAATGAGCTTAATTAAAGAACCTTAATCTGCACTCTCGTGCTTCTGAAAAGGCAATGTGTATTTATGCTTTTATATCTTCTGTGGCAGATAAAAACAAACTTTCTCACACTCTACACCTACCCTCCTCACCGGCCTGGCCCCAAAAATCCAATAGAAAATTCTCAGGAAAACAACTTGGTGTTAGGTGAGTGTTTGGAGGGGGAGGGGATATAGAAGCACTCGTGTATTTCCATAGTTCTTTTTGGCTGAATTTACTTTCTTCGTATTCCCACTAGAGAAACCCTCAAACGGGATCTAGCTAGAGAGATATGGCTTATGCTGTTGTAACTTCCATTATGACAACTATAGAGCAAGTCTTGCAATTCAATCCAAGTTTGATTTCTGAATGTAGGGAATCCATTGATTCACTTTATGGCACACTTTCAAGCTTTCCTTGAGGATACGGGAAACCGGATCAATGATCAAGAAGCATTGAAACTTTTGGAAAAGAAGATCAGAGATGCAGGATATAAAGCAGAAGATACATTTGATTTGTGCCTAAGAAGAATCCATGTGGCTAATACTGAACATGATCAAAACAACGCTCGGTGTAAGCTCTATGACGAGTTGCAGCAAATAACAGAAGTGATGGATTCCATACGAGTAGGGGTGATGAAGTTCAAGAATGACCGTCACAATAACCAGCAAGATATCAAAGATCTTTCAGCAATAACTTCTTCACCTTTGCGCTCATCAGAGCGTGTCTTGGATGAGGAAAATACTCTCGTTGGAATGGAGGATGATTTCAAAATCATAAGAGATCAACTCTTTGGGCAAACACCAGAGCTGAACGTTGTCTCAATTGTTGGTATGGGCAGTATCGGTAAGTCGACTCTTGCTAAAAGTTTATTTAATCATCCATCAGTATCCCGTCGCTTTGATATTTCTTCATGGGTTACTGTTTCTCAAGCATATGATGCAAAAGAAATGCTTTTGGATGTCCTAAGCTTCGGTACTCCAGGTGGGAAGGCAATGTACCGCAATATGAGCGAAGATGAATTATTGGACCAAGTGCATAGAAAATTGAAAAGGAAGAGGTATTTGATAGTTTTGGACGATATGTGGACTATAGAGGCTTGGGACCAAGTAAGAAGATCATTTCCCGATGATGAAAATGGAAGTCGCATAATGATAACTACTAGGCTCCTCGAAGTAGCTAATTGTGCTGGCAATGATTTCCCTCCTCATCACATGCCTTTTCTTAGTCTTGAAGATGGTTGGAAATTACTATCTCTTAAGGTTTTTGCAAATGAAGATTGTCCCCCTCAGCTTGAAGAAGTAGGAAAGCAGATAGCGAAACAATGTCAAGGGCTAGCTCTCTCAGTTGTTGTCATCTCTGGGCTTCTGTCGAAGATCAATAGGACATATGATGATTGGCAACAAATTGCTGATAATGTGAATTCCCACATAGGTTCAACCTCCCAGCAGTGTTTAGCAATATTAGCTCTGAGTTACAACTACTTGCCTTGTAGCTTGAAAGCTTGCTTTCTTTATATGGGGGTTTTCCTTGAAGATGCAGATATTTCTGCGGATAAGTTGATTAGAATATGGGTTGCTGAAGGTTTTCTGAAGCGAAATAGTCATAAAAAGCCAAAGGAAGTAGGAGAAGAATGTTTAGAGGAGCTAGTTAGTAGAAGTTTGATTATGGTTAATAATCGAGGATGGGTAAGCGGAAAAATTAAATGTCTCAGAATTCACGACCTCATTCGACTAATATGCTTGAGAGAAGGGAAAGCCGAGAAGTTTTTTCATGTCATAAATGAATGTTACGAAGTGTCCTCAGAAGGCGTGGAGAGTGAACATCGACTATTTTTGTATGAAGATGCTGTACAAAACCAGAATATCGGCCTAGAGAAAGGCAATCTGGATTCAGTTCGTACCATCTCGTGCACGCATAAACCACATGCTTCTTTACTCGACTATGAATGCTACAAAATAGTGGATTCTCGTTTTCAATTGCTAAGGGTATTGGATGTACTACTGATTTATTTTCTACATTTTCCAACTGAGATAACACAACTAGTGCACTTGAGATATCTTGCATTGGTCACTTCTACCAGTGTTCCGGCATCAATATCTAATCTGTGGAATCTACAGACATTGATTGTTCATTCAGTTGCGAATGAATTATCCTGGCCATTAGAAATTTGGAAAATATCAAGTTTGATACACTTCTATCCAGGGAAAATGTATGTACCTGCTCCTCCTAAGGCACCAAATTTTTTGGGTCTAGAAAACTTAGAAGAGCTTTCACTAAGCACTGCTAGTTCTTCCAACTTGAAGGAAATCTTTATGGCAATCCCTCATGTAAAGGTATTGGATGTTGACCTCAATCAAGATGGATGGGATAATCTTATAGATAATCTAATCTATCTAGCTGATCTTCGGAATCTAAGAATTCTTCTCCGTCTTCCGTTTGATGCACAATTATTCCGAAGGCCGAGTGCTCGACCATATGACGTGTTCCCAGCAAACCTCAAGAGTTTGATACTTGCAGAGACACATCTAGTATGGACAAAGATGACAATGCTTAGTTACTTACCCAACCTTGAGGGGCTCAAACTAGAACTTTTTGCTTTTCAGGGGAGTAATTGGAATCTAGATGAAGGGGGTTTCAAGAAACTCAAGTTGCTAGACATTGTTCAACCGGAGCTGGTGCACTGGCATGCAACCAGTGAGAGTCTTCCAGTTCTAGAGTATCTAGTCCTAAGACATTGTTATAAGTTGAAGGAGATTCCTACAGAGATTGGAGATATTCCCACATTGAAATTGATTGAGTTGCATTATTGTAGCCAATCTGCTGTCACTTCTGCAGAGGAAATTCTAGATGAACAACAAAGCTTGGGAAATGAAGTTCTTGCGGTCCGCGCCTACAACACTAGAGGTACGTAAAAGTCATGCGCGCTCGAGAGAGTTTTAGTCTGTGCTTTCCTTTTAGTTTATCTTTAATTTGCAATCTATTGACTTCATTGGTATGCGAGTTTGAAGTACAATTAGGTGTCAAGTGGCCTTTTGCTACTCATTTTTCTCTTAGCATTTTGTAAAATGTAACGACTCAGTCACTTGTTAGTCAAATCATTTTAAAGTGTTAGAATTATTCCTTTCTTTTAGCTGCAAAAAGGATTATTCATTTTGTGAAGGTGTTTGACTAAGCATATAGCTTTAAAAAGCAAGAAATACTTTTAAATCATGTGATTTAAGCATCTCATGACATTTATGTAGCTACAATTCATGTCAGTAAAGGCATAATGAAAATTTTAAAGCTGAATTATTGACAAAAGTCGATTTATAAAGGGAAAAGTGTCACCTAAAATTGAATAAAGGAAGTGCCATAATTTTGTGATGTTTTAGCTCTTTATGTTACTGTATATTCGGGTTCGTTGGTTGGAAAGAACTTTCTTTGCCGAATTACAAAGATCCCTTCAGTATCTCTGTTATCTATATTTTACTTCAGTATTTGCTTATTCCTTTTTTGCTTAATCTATTTGTCTAAGGCAGTGACGATTTGTTGGTTTACCAGGCTAAGAAGTGGAAGAAAATGAAGAAATACGAGACATTCTCAACTAAGAATATAGGTATGTTTGACCCTTTTATGCTTCTAAATGTGATGACCGTTGATGAACTGAATAAGCTGAAAACAAAATGGAAAACCTTCTCTGGGAGTTTGCATAAAAGAAATTGCTGATATTAATTAAGACATGACGAGATTGCACAGAGTGACTATAATTTTTTAAAAGTTTTTAGTAATTGAAGTTATGATTTCATTAACAGCAAAATAAACAGTTCTATGACGTCATGCGGCCTTCTTTTTTTTATTTTTTATTTTTTCCTGGGTATTTGTATTTGTGATTGATAGCTTGGAGAGGAAATATTCGCTACTTATTTGTTTGAATTTAATGATTATAGTTAGATACTGCAAAATCCGCTTAAGGGAGGTTTCAAGGTGGTTTATTAAGATCTTAGGCTATACAAAATAGTACATTCTTTAAAAAGAAAAATAAAAACTAGTACCCAATTTATGCGGCATATTTTTTTTTTTTAGTCTGTCCCAAAAAGAATGTTATACTTTCTTATTTAGAAACAATTTAACTTTAAATTTTCTTTTTTCCCTTAATGAGATGATTTACGGCCACACAAATTTCTATAGCTTGTTCAAGTCTTCCAAACCATAAGTTTCAAAAGTTTTCTTTTTTTCTTCTAAACTCCATGCCGAGTAAAACACCGCTACATAAATTCGAACAGAGGGAGTACCCTAATTAAGTATGAATTGAATAGTTAACTATTTTCATATGATGTCAAAATGAAGTTTCAATAAGTTCACAATCCTGGTAAGTTCATTTGTAGTTGCACACCTTCTTATTTGCTCTCTCATTTTTCCTTTTTCATGTGGATTCTATTATTATGGGTATATCCAAGTCTTCTTTTCCCCATACTAACTATAACCCAAGACAAGAGTATATAGTGTACAATATAGGGAGCAACTCAAGAATAAATGCCTATATAAACTAGCTAAAATTAAATAAAGGAGTCTCCATGAAACCTATGTTGCGTGGACTCTCCAAAATAATGCCGTACCCGTATCGGATTTGTCAAAAATGCATTACTTTTGAAAGATCCGACACGCACCCGGAGAAATTTTTGGAGAGTCCGAGCAGCATAACACAAAACACTGCGTGGAGCTCACTGACATATGTCTTCCTCAAGTAGCTATCGATCTTTCAGCAGCCCTGTCAATTCCTATATATGTAAAAGAAAAAGAGCAAAAAATGGGGTGAGTTCACCAACTCAGTCAGTAGTCACCTAATCCAAACCAGACTGAGGACATACATATTGTAGCAAATATACATACATTTATGCTGCTCACCCTCAGTATAGAACCACAGTTCACTAAATGTCTTTTAAACAAGTGATTTCTCCTAATCCCTGAGTAGCTAGGATCCCTGGTGTGCTACCCCCAACCCCAACGTCCAGACTGTTTGGATACAATTAAATTCCACCACATGGATTAGCGATTCAATCCGTCTATGTTTTACTTACTTGTGTACGCTAATCGTACCACAAGACTCATAAACATGACTAAATTATGTCCTAAACCCAGTGTTAGAAATAATTTGAGTCAGTCTTCTCAGTGGACATGTGGTCTTCCTAGACTTGTTGGATTGATTTAATATTGAATGGTGCAGATGGATACAACACAATACATCACAGCTGTGTATATGCATGATTCTAGAATATTCTTACACACGAGATACAAATACACAACTCATAGTTATTTTTCATTCTTTGTACAAAGCTTATAGTACTAGTCTTTTGAACTTCTTCCTAGCTAATGTTGAATCTGCAGTGGCACCACTCTGGGTGGGACAATCTTGCCAACTGCTGTCACAATCCTTTTTCCATCTGAAAGATTCCACAGTGATAATTAAATGAACTGTATCCAGAAGTGAAATGGATTGATCTACCATGTGGATTTTATAATTCAAAGTTTGCACCTTCGCTTTTTCCTCAACATCTAGTATGCTTGGACTTTCTTGTAATTTTTTTATGTATCAATGTGACAGTTAAGACTTTGATTTTAAGACGAATTGTAAATATAAGTTGTGTGCTTGATGTTGGGCCTACTTTTTCTTTTTGCTGTGGGTTCCCAAAAAAATATCCGTCAGGAAAACAGATTTTTTTTTTTTTAATTTTATGTATCACTACCAAAGTAGATAGTACAATTTTTTTTTTGGTTTAAGTAGTTGGTATCCGAATTCCATTGTTCGTGAAATTCTAGAAGTCTAGTTGATTGGCTACTTAAATTTTTACTTTGTTGGTAAGGATTCGATTTTTTTGTGAGAATGCACGGGAGAAAAATATGATATTATTGACATGTGTCAAACAAGATACAATGAGCCCTATATATATATACAAACACACACACACATAACATGTCCTACTCCTAATACATATGAGATTAAGATTATTTACTCCTATTTACATAACTATTCTAACACTCCCCCTCAAGTTGGTGCACATAAATCATATGTACCGTGATTGTTACATATGTAGTTAATACGAGGACCAGTGAGGGACTTGGTGAAAATATCTGCAAGCTGATCATTCGACTTCACAAACTTTGTAGCAATATCTCCCGAGAGTATCTTTTCTCTGACAAAGTGACAGTCAATCTCAATGTGTTTAGTTCTCTCATGGAACACTGGATTTGACGCAATATGAAGAGCACCTTGATTATCACACACAAGTCCCATCTGACTAATCTCACCAAATTTCAACTCCTTAAGCAACTGTTTGATCCAAATTAGCTCACATGTCGCCATAGCCATCGCTCGATATTTTGCTTCTGCACTAGATCGGGCAATCACATTCTGTTTCTTGCTCTTTCACCAAATTTCCTTCTACTAAGACACAATATCCAAACGTAGAACGTCTATCAGAAGGTGATCCTGCCCAATCAGCATCAGAGTATCCAACGATCTGCTCATGGCCTCGATCCTTAAACAATAAACCTTTGCCTGGAGCTGATTTTATATACCGAAGAATGCGAACAATTGCATCCCAATGACTATCACACGGAGAATCTATAAACTAACTCACAACACTCACAGAAAAGGAAATGTCAGGTCTTGTCACTGTAAGGTAATTTAATTTACCAACCAACATCTATATCTTGCAGGATTGCTAAGAGGCTCCCCCTGTCCTGGCAAAAGTTTAGAATTCGGATCCATCGGAGTGTCAATAGGTCTACAACCTGTCATTCCTATCTCCTCAAGAATATCTAAGGCATACTTTCGTTGTGAGATCACAATACCTGAGCTAGACTAAGCGACCTCAATACCCAGAAAATACTTTAATTTGCCCAGATCCTTAGTCTGAAAGTGTTTAAAGAGATGTTGCTTCAATTTAGTAATACCATCCTGGTTATTACCGGTAATAACAATGTCATCAACATAGACCACCAGATAAATACAGGGACTCGAAGCAAAATGCTGATAGAATACAAAGTGATCAGCTTCACTCCAAATCATGCCAAATTCCTGGATAACTGTGCTGAACTTACCAAACCAAACTCGAGGAGACTGCTTTAGACCATAAAGTGACCGGCGCAAGCGATATACAAGGCCATGAGACTTCCCCTGAGCAACAAACCCAGGTGGTTGCTCCATATAAACTTCATCCTCAAGGTCACCATGTAAAAAAACATTCTTAATTTCCAACTGATAGAGGGGCCAATGGCGAACACCATCCATGGATAGAAAAAGGCAGACTGATGCTATCTTAGCCACAAGAGAGAAGATATCACTGTAATCGAGCCCCAATATCTGAGTATATTCCTTGGCAACAAGACGAGCCTTAAGACGATCAACCTTACCATCCGGACCAACCTTGACTGCATATACCCAACGATAACCAACAATAGATTTACCTGAAGGAAGAGGGACGAGCTCCCAAGTACCACTCATATGTAAATAAGACATCTCGTCAATCATAGTCTATCATCATCCTGGATGAGACAATGCTTTACTTGTAGACGTAGGGATGGAAACAGAGGACAAAGAAGATAGAAAAGCATAATAGGGTGATGACAAATGATGATAGCTCAAACCGACATAATGAGGATTAGGATTAAGGTGGTCCATATACCATTCCGAAGTGCAATCGGTGTACTAGGAAGAGATAAGTCCGCAGTAGAAGCAGGGTCAGGTGCAAGACGTGAATCAACTGGGCCTGATGCTGGGTGTGGACGACGATGATATGTCAAGAGTGGTGTTCCTGTGGCAGAGAGTCTAAGAGGAGCCATACTAGACTTCCCAATGGTTGGAATGGGTAAGACTTCTGTAGCGGAAGGTGAAGGAGGAGCTATAGTAGACTCGGGTAAGACATGTGGCGGAAGGTGAAGGAAGAGCTATAGTAGACTCCTTAAAGGTCGGTATAGGTAAGACCTCAGATATATCAATGTGGTCAGAATGGTCAGAAGAGGTAAAGAAAGGTTTAGACTCAAAAATGTGACGTCAGAGGACATAAAGTACCTACGAAGATCAGGTGAGTAACAACGATATCCCTTATGAACACAAGAATAACCAGGGAAGACACACTTGAGAGCACGATGAGCTAATTTATATTTCCTAGGGGCTAAGTTATGAACGAAACAAGTGCTCCCAAAAACACGAGGGGGAACAGAGTATAAGGGTGATTGGGGAAACAATACTGCATACAGTATCTGATTCTGGATGGGAGTGGAAGGCATCCGATTAATTAAATAACAAGCTGTGAGAACTGCATCGCCCCAAAAACGCAACGAAACATGAGATTCAATGAGAAGTGTGCGAGCAGTCTCAATGATGTGCCTATTCTTTCTCTCTGCAACCCCATTTTGCTGAGGGGTATAAGGACAAGAGGTCTGATGAATAATTCCTTGAGAAGTCATAAACTGTTGAAATTGAGAGGATAAATATTCTAAGGCATTATCACTGCGAAAAGTGCGAATAGAAACACCAAATTGATTTTTAATTTTAGCACAAAAATTCTGGAATATAGAAAAAACTCAGAACGATCTCTCATTAAGAAAATCCAAGTACATCATGAATGATCATCAATGAAACTAACAAAATAACGAAATCCCAAGGTTGAACTGACTCTACTAGGACCCCATATATCAGAATGAACTAAAGAAAAAATAGACTCCGCATGACTCTCAATACTACGAGGAAAGGAGGCTCGGGTATGTTTCCCGAGCTGACATGACTCACACTCTAATGTAGATAAACTAGACAAACTAGGCACCACCTTCTGAAGCTTGGATAAGCTTGGATGTCCTAATTGTCTGTGAATTAGGTTCGAAGGATCTGTAACTAGACATGCCTTGGAGGAATTGAGTGAGTTAAGGTAGTTAAAGCCTTCTGATTCAAGTCCTGTTCCAATCGTCTGCCCCGTACTGCGGTCCTGTATAATAAAGGAATCATCAATAAAATATATACCACAATGGAGTACACAAGTCAAATGACTAACATATGCAAGATTAAAAGGACAACCAGGGATATAACAAACGGAATCTAGAGTGACAGAGGGTAGGGGGTTCGCTTGTCCAACTCCTTTTGCTTTGGTTTGAGACCCATTGGCTAAAGTAACAGTGGGAAGAGACTGTGAATACGCAATATTTGACAAAAATGCTTTATTACCAGAGATATGATTAGAAGCGGCTGAGTCCACAACCCATTGTCCAAGAGTACTAGATTGGGAAACATAAGCAAAAGAATTACCAGCAACAGAAGTATCAGTCTGAGCAATAGAGGCTACTTGTGGAGATATCTGCTTACTTGCTTGATATTGAAGGAACTCATTATACTCCCCTTCAGATAAAGAAAATCCCTGGTTACCTGTAGTCTCAGTCTGAGCAACATAAGCATTTTTGGGTGGGCGACCATGTAAAGAATAACACAGATCACGAGTGTGTCCAAGTTTATGACAATAAGAGTACTTGAGTCTAGATCTTCCAAAATGACCTCCTCCTTGTCTATTCTCCATAGTATGAGATGCCCGATTGTCCACTATCTGGGATGCGAGAACAGATGAGTCAAGTGTCTGTGATGAGATAACTGGGTGACTTGGTGCTGCAGCAAGGCGAAGTAATCGAGAGAATAATTCATCAACTGTGGGGACAATCGGACTAGCCAAAATCTAATCGCGTACTGAGTCAAGATCTTTAGGAAGCCCATCAAGAGTAAGAACTAGAAACATCTTTTGTCGCTGCTCTTGCTGCTTTGCAACACTAGCAAAAACTGGCATCAACTTCTCAAATTTCTCCATGACTTCCTGTACTTGTCCTAAGTAAGTAGACATATCTAATTCATGTTTCTTTAAGTTTGTCATCCGCGATATCACATTATAGAAACGAGATATGTCATTAGTGTATAAAGTGCGAGCCTTTTCCCAAACCAAATAACATGTCTGGAATGGACGAAACAAGGGCATCAACTTGGAATCAATAGATCGCCACAGAATTCTACATAATTGAGCATCGATCTTCTCCCAAAATGCTTTGGCCTTTTCATCTCCTTCACTAGACTTAATGATTAGATGATCTCAATACCTTGCCCTTTACACCACAACTCGACAGACGAAGCCCAAGCTAAGTAGTTTGAACATCCCATTAAAGGTTCTGAGGTAATCATAATACCGGAATTAACAGAACCTGGGTTTTTAGACCTGAAAGTTATCGACTCCCAAAGACATTGTTGGATTGAAATGAGGTTTACAAAATTATCACCAAATAACAGAAAAAATCAATTGAAAACTTGCAAAAACAGACGAAAGAGGCACTGTTTCAGTCGGAAATTACTGTATTTGCCGGAAAAATTCAAAGTGGTCGGAATTAAAAAATAAAATTATGGATAGGCTCGGAATTTGAGGGCGATCCAACTACTCTAAAGGAACTAAGTCAAAAACTGCCCGGAAAGTGCTCCACGCACCGGCGCGTGGAGTAGATCTCGCCGGAAAAAATCTTTATGTTCGGCGCGTGGAGGCGCGTGAGATGGATGCCTGCGGAGGTGTTTGTTGGGGTTCGGTCGCCGGGGGTTGGGGGACCTTGTAGTGGTGTTGGTTTTTGCACAACACCTATGTAAATTGGTTTGA